GGCGCCTCTCGTGAAGACAAGGCCAGCCAACAGAACAACAACGCCTCTTTTAACAGTTACTTAGCATGAATAAGTCTAAATCATTAATAAAAATTCCCATAAGTGCGGAAGAAAAGTGATAAAAATAGGGAACCATCCCAACAAAGCCCGACCGGGGTGTCACAAGTCCGAGCATCTAGAAGGATTTTTAATCCAACTACAAGGCCTGTAATACATGGATTTAAATTTAGAATCAAAAAGAAGAAATCTGGTGCCGCGAACGCTGGCGGTCACCTTGCTCAGCTACGATAGCAAAATCCTCAACTAGCTCAAACCCGCTACCGGGTAAACAAATACCTGCATCTGCACGCAAGGTGCAGGGAGTAAAGTGAGTACTCCAACTCAGTGAGTAATAAAAGTAAATAATAACTGAGCAGCAAGAAATCACGTAAAGCAATCCATCATGCTATATAGGACAGTGTAACCCTTTGAGAAAACAGTGAAAATGTGAAATCTTTAGAAATATATGGCCTCAGTTTAAAACCTCTTTTGAAAATATCTTTTACCGACAGTTGAGCAAATGAATGCGAAATAGATAGTGCAAGTCAGCACAAAAGTCAGCCCCTCGGGCACAACACTCCATTAACGAATAACACCAGGATATCAGGTAAGCAATGCAGAAATAGCATGGAAGCCAATGAAATGAGAGTGCTGAAATGTCATGACAGATAATACAAATAGGAACAAATACATGAGTGCAATGCAATGCATATGACGGTACACTCCGGTACCCATTGCGGCGTGCAGCCCGATCCATTTAACGTCGACGGCTCACTGGGGGTATGTACAGACTCCGGAGGGGCTCCTACAGCCCAAGCGCAATATCAAGCCATCTCGTGGCATCAACCAGACCCTCGGCCTAAAAATCAATGTATAACTGCTGTGAGTGCAGCCCGAGCCATCCATAGTCCAGAAATATACATGTAACACTGCTGCGGTGCGCAGCCCGTTCCATTCTCAGTCCAGAAATGCACATATGCCACTTGGGCAATACAATATGGTAGTTCTCAGCTCAAAACGTCAATAAAATATTATTTAAGTTTTCAAATCTTAGGAAAATGGCTGAGTTTGCAAAACAGTATTAAAACCTTAGACCGAGATCAAATAATATGCAAAGTAATGCAAAAACTGTGATATCAATCCCTAAAGGATTCACATAGTTGGCACGAAGCCCAAACATGGCAATCAGTCCAAATTATGATGATAACAAGTAGTTTCAGTTAAATACGTAGTAACTTCATCAATCGGGATTGACCAAGTCACAATCCCCAACGGTGCTCTACCCCACGCCCACTATCCGGCGTGCAAGTCACCTCAATACAGCACTATGATGTGCAAATCCGGGGTTTCAAACCCTCAGGATATCATTTACAATCATTACTCAGCTCGAACCGGTAAAATATCTAGCTTGGGATGCCTTTGCCCCTCAAATCGGTCTCCACGCGCGTCGAATCTATCCAAAATCAGAGCGAATACATCACAATATGCTAAGGGAACAATACCCAATCGAAAACAATCGAAAAATAGCAAAAATCTCGAAACTAGCAAACCCCGAGCCCCGGGCCCACCTCTCGAAAAATTACAAAATTCACATCAATGGATTCCTCATCTCGCCACGAGTTCATACATACCAAGAACTCCCAAATCCGACCTCAAATGGCCCTTCAATTTCTAATTTAAAAATCCCAAAACTCAAGCCCTAGTTCTTCCACTTTTGGCTTAATTTTCATGAATTTCTAGGTGGATTTCACAATAAAAATGAGTTTTAAGTTCAAAAATCTTACCTCCAATTGATTCCCCTTGAATCCCTCTTTAATCTCCACCAAGAAGCTCTCAAAATGATCAACCATGGGGGGAAAATGGCTAAAATCGCGGATGAAATGTTTATAAACTTTCTGCCCAGACCTGGAAAATCCTTCATCGCATTCGCGACCACTACCTCGCGAACGCGAAATGCAAAAATATAAAAGCTCGAAAACACTCTACGCGAACGCGACTCAATCCATGCGAATGCGATAGTTTAGGACTCATACTTACGCGAACACGCTACCTCACACGCGAACGCGTAGAACAAACTCCACTGGGCCCCAAATCCTTATTCGCGAACGCGATACCCTCACTGCGAACGCGAAGCACAGGGTCAAGGCCCTCCGCGAACGCGAGACACCAAACGCAAATGCGAAGGCCAAACTCAGGCCAACTCAATTTCCTTCTGTGCGATCGCGAGGGACCTCACGCGATCGTGAAGGCAAATTCTTCTGCAACAGCTGATGGTCAATTTCTGCAACATCTCAACCTGGAAAGGGGTCCGATTGACCACCCGAAACTCACCCGAGGCCCCCGGGACCTCAACCAACAGCACCAATACATCCCATAACATCATTCAAACTTGTTCCAATCATCAAAACACGTCAAACAACACCGAAACCATCAAATTACATCGGACTCAAGTCTAAGTTCTTCTAAAACTTCCGAAACACGCATTCGATCAAAAACCCAACCAAATGACGTCCGAATGACCTGAAATTTTGCACACACATCACAAATCACATAACGAAGCTACAGCAACTCTCAGAATTCTATTCCGACCCTCGGATCAAAATCTCACCCATCAACCGGAATGCGCCAAAATACTAACTTCGCCAATTCAAGCCTAATTCTACACCGGACCTCCAAAATAAATTCCGATCACACTCCTAAGTCAAAAATCATCCCCCGAAGCTAACCGAATCACCGGAAATCACATCCGAGCCCTATAACTCATAAGTCAACGTCCGGTTGACTTTTCCAACTTAAGCCTTCCTTAAAGAGACTAAGTGCCTCATTTCTACCAAAACCAATCCGAATCAACTATAACACACCAAATACTGATAATGAAACATGAAGAAGCATAAAATGGGGAAAAAGGGGCGGTAACTCATGAGACGACGGGTCGGGTCGTCACATAAGCGCTGCCTGCTTTACTTTACATAATTAGACTCCATGCCTAGGAAATAAAATAACTAAGGTTCGGCTCTCATTACGGTATATATTCAAATCCGTCTCTTTATAAATCATGCCTATAGGATCTAAAATCAGTTTTAATTAGAAATCATGCCTATAGGTGCTGAATCCGTTTAATTAATTATCCTACTCGTTTCTTTAATAGTCTTCAACGTTGTATTACTCAGTGTCACTAGAAAGCATGCCTATAGGATAAAGGGCTCAAAATTATTTTTTCCAGAATCGTGACTGCATATATACACTTAGGCAAACCATAGAGCGTTAAAATTAAAACTAGTTCTGCTTATGTGTGATATTACCTAGGCTTAACAGGCTATAAAACCAGTAGGCAAACTGGTTAGGAATTCTACCACTTTCCCTACATCCTGAATCTATAACATCCATCTAGATACCATGTTTCTTAGGATTTCTGAACTTTCTTCAAAACTTGTGTTTTAGACGTGCTGTTTGTTTGCCTATATACATGCGGAGGTAAATGTGAGCCTGCTAAATGCTTGTCTTCATCTACTTGTCCTATGTGTTATTTGCTTGTCGCCTAGATTTTTACCTTTTATAAACCTTAGGCCGTCCAGAACTATCCATATTTAGAGGTCCCAAATTCCTCCGGGACAATGAGGAAGGGACGGGTAGCAGCACGCTTAGGGGTCGTTAATTAAACTCGCTCATAACCATTAAGGGGGGGAATGGGTAGTAAAGGATATGATGACTGCGCACTAGTGTCATGTGTAGTCCCTCATTGAGGAGTGATTACCGGGCATTGCATGGGTATGATCCTGTAGGCTAATCAACTTAGGACTTCCCTTTCCTAATTCCCGTATATGTATAAATTCTCTAAATTTCCTTTCTTTACTTATACATGCACAAGTTGTCCAAATCTCTTTTCCCTTTATTATTTGAACTTCTTTGATCATATATGCATTTAAACGAGGAAAGCTACTTTATTTGCAAATACTTGCTTACTTGTTATTTGACTGATCCGTATAGTGTAAGTTCGGTCGGGAACCAGCGTTGTGGACCGCGAGGGGTGCCTGACACCTTCCCCTCAAGGTTATCTCGAGCCCTTATCCTAATCTCTGGTAATGCAACTAGTTACATGAGTTAATTACTTTAGGTGCCCTAACGCACCATAATCCGTTAGGTGGCGACTCTTCAAAATACCCAATTCCCAAAAGGAAACGAGTCGATCCCCCATGAATGTCGAAACCGGACTTTCTTCGCGAGGGGAAAAAAAAGGGGGCGCGACAGCACTGGCTCGGTATGGCGAGTGATTTCTGGTTCTACCACATTCGGAGTTCTATGTTGACTTTAAAGCTGAGTAATAGCAGCCTGATGAGCCTGTAGCATCTCGAATAATACCTAGAGACTAACTCCCTCGTCTCCTACGCCCTGTGTTCCTTGGCCACCAGATCGGCCTTTCATGCGTACACTCCCTTCGGGGTCCGTGCCTAAATCCGCATTCAAAATAATGTGCGAACTGATATCGACTGGATCGACGACCGGTACTCCTCCGAGATTAGCCGGTGGCACCCCGACACCTGGAGCAATTACGAATTGTTTTCCCTGTGAAATCCAAGACCATCATCACTATGTACGGGTGCGTTTGTGAGTTTGATATGTTTTAACCTGAGAACAAAAATTCTTGACAAGAACAAGTGTGAAATAACGTGTGTTATCAGAATCAGCACTGAAACAATCACTATTATCCTTAGCCCCAAGGTGGGCGCCAAACTGTTTACCCTAAAATCCGAGTAACAATTAAACTTATATTGCGGTTTTAAGGATATGTGATTTAATCCAATACCAATTGATAAACAAGGAATTAAATATATAAATTGAAGGATAAATAATTCAAACCGCTGTGCAAGTCAAATCTCGACCTCGAATTATGACGGTCTCGAGGTGGAATAGTGGGAATAGCAAGTTATAAAACAACCATGATGAACAATAATAGCTAGAGAGTAAAGTGCATGTATTTCTTCTCAATCAAAAAATGTGTCTTACAAATGAATGGGCTCCCCTTTATATAATAGGGGAATCCTAAATAAGGTACACTTCTAATTACAGTAGGAAATCATGATTGACAGCTGTCTAACCGCCAAGGGTCAATCTATTCCACAATTTACGCCATGATCTTCGGGCCATTGCTCGAGGCATGCCTTCTTCCGACCTCGGCAAATCATTTCGACCTCGACCTCGATATTGGAAAGGAGCCTCGACCCCGAGCTCGGCGTCCTGGCCTCTCGACGTGGTATCACCTTTTCCATCGAAGAATGAAATCGGGTAGCCCCGATTTCCACCGTATACAACAAACTAATTTTCTTTTCCTAACTTTTCCTTTTGGTGTTTGGTTTTTATAGTATCCATCGTCAAATTGGTTAAGGCTGCTGCGTCAAAAGAGAGAGATAATAAAAATTTTGATAACGATGGAAGAGGAAATTATGGATCCAGCAGTGGATCACATATCCAAATTGGCAGTGCCAGTTTTGCAGAAAATTCTATCTTCCTTTCTTGCTAAAGATGTTGCACAATTGAATACATTGTCCAAGTCTTTGAATAGTGCTTGGACTACCCTCTCCTACCTAAATTTTGGTTATAAATTTTTCTATCATCAAGGGGATGATGACCAATGGATACTAGCAGAAAATATAACGGATCTAGCAAATCGGCAGAATCAGAAAATTTCTATACAAAAGTTGTGGTTAACATTACCGTCTTCTCATTGGAGTTCTTATATTCATGGCTGGATTAATACACTTGTATCGCTTAACATCAAAGAGTTGATTTTAAGTGTTGATACACCTAACGATGGTTACAACATGATTTTGCCTGAAGCAATCTTTGCTGCAAAAGAACTAAATGTTCTTAATTTACAGGGATTTAAGCTTGAATTGCCCCACAATAATGGCATAAAGTATTCGTCTTTGAGAGTGTTACACCTCTCTAAGGCACTTTTGAGCGAGCACTTTATTCGAGCTGTATGTGAAAGCTGCAGTGGCTTAGAGGATTTAAAGTTAAATGAATGTCACGGACTAGCCAGTTTACAAATTGGAGGAACGTCTTTATCCAAACTGAGGAGTGTTTGGTTGGATTGTCTTTATGATTTACATATGTATGGTTGATATTGTAGCATCCAATCTTGAAAATCTTTACATTGATTGTATGTATCATTTTGCTTTAATCTGATTAATATTGAACTGCATACTCCTAACTTAACAAGCTTCTGTATTTGTAAAATAATTCTGGAAATATAAGTGAATATAAACAGAAATGAACATAAACAGAAATGAACAACGAAATAATAAAAAATCAATTCGAGCCCACTGAATTCACAGTGTTTCCTTAAGGAATTTAATCCCCTCCTAGTACCCAAGGTTATGGATTATTTCCTCCCAGGATAGAACGAATTACACACTGGTGTAGTGGTACTTCAAACCCCAGTGTTTCAGCGAATACAAAATCCGGTAGCAAATCACACTTACTTTATGCTTTGTTTGATGCTAAAAATATGCAGAAGAAGGAGAAGAAACTCAGAAAATCGTAGTGAAATTCTGAGCAGAATAGTGTTGTATTTATAGCCAAAGTTGGGCTAAAATCTGAAGAGGTGCAACTCTTCAGAATGGCTGTTTATGCAAAACGCCCACAATATAAATGCCATTACATAAATGGCCATTTACTCAACAATAAAGAGGGAAAATAAAGAGGAAAAATTGAAGAGGGTAGTTACTTTTCTGTTATCAAAACAGAAAAACGGATTGGATTTAATATTAATATTCTGTTATTAAAACAACTATTTAATAACATTTCTGTTAATATTTTACTATTAACAAATAAATTTGGTCCAAAAAGTTAATCAATCAATCATTTGACCAAATCCAAATCCGAATCCGAATCCGAAGCCGAAGCCGTAGCCGAAGCCGAAGCCGAGCCGAGCGAGCGACGACGACGACGGCGCGAGGCTTGCCTTCTTCTCAACTCTTTAAGAGCTAGAAGAAGAGCAATTGCTTATATACCCATAAAAAACCTCTTCCTCTTCCAATATGGGACAATGCCCATTTGCCAAGGGGGGAACTTAAAATTTCACTCAAAAATTTCATTCCCTCCATTTTCCATTCACCCTCTTTTAAGTATTTAATATATTAATTAAATACATCCAAAACCCAACAGAAGCATAATCTAAAGGATGTCAAAATGGATAACTTTACATGTATGGAGCAACAGGAGCTGAGAAATTATCTTTTCCCAAGAAATGCAGCTTTTGTGTCCAAGATTTTACTTCAATAAATTTACTTTATGCAGAAGTTTCATGATTTTTTGTGTCTAGTTCAACCATAAACCAGCTTCTCCATCTCCATTTGGGAGTTGCGAAAGTATATGATAAATGGCCGAGGGCAAATGTTCTTGCACACAAATCTCATCCCTCAAACCAAGTGCAAATGTTCCAAAAATGAAGAGGGCACTCATGTTCTCGCACACAAATATTTGACAAATTGCAAGGATTTGAAGGTATATCAATGGTGGAAACTCTGAGAAGAGAGACGGTTAAGAGAGAAAATGAATTATTGTTTTTATTGAAGAAGAAGAACAGTACTTTTATACATCTAAGTACCATTAACTTAAGCTAACCCACTAACTAATTGTCAGCTCATTAACAAGAAAAAACACGTGACTAACTAACTGTTACATGTGCTGTATCTATATTACAATATGCCCCTTCAAGCTGGAGGGTGTAGAATGTTGAGCACTCCCGGCTTGTCAAGAAGATGCACATGTTGAGCAGTACCCAAACCTTTGGTTAGCAAATCAGTTTGCTGCTCCTTTGCATTCACATGCACTGCCTGAACTATCCCTTCTTTGATCTTGTCCCTAATGAAATGACAGTCGATTTTTATATGTATTGTCTGTTCATGTAGTATGGGATTTGCTGCTATCTGAATGGCAGATTTACTGTCACTAAGAATTGTCACTGGTTGTGTAATCTTCACACCCAACTCTTTAAACAGACCTAGTAACCATACGATTTCAGCAGTTGCAGCAGCCATGCTTCTGTACTCGGCTTCAGCTGAGCTTCTTGACACATTTGTTGCTTCTTTGATTTCCAAGACACCAAGGAAGTTCCAAACTTTATCACATAACCAGTAACTGACCTTCTTGTATTAGGACATGCTACCCAGTCTGAATCACACCAGCATGTTAACTCCCCTGTGTGATTAGAAGCCATTAAGATTCCCTGTCCTGGTGCATCCTTTAAGTATCTTACAACTCTAACTGCAGCATCCCAATGAGACTTCTTGGGCCTTTGCGTGAACTGGCTCAAGGTTTGTGCAGCATAATTGATGTCTGGTCTTGTAATGGTAACATACAGCAATTTTCCAACTAGCCTTTGATAGGCATTAATATCCTGCAACAGGGGATCATCCTTGACTTCATTTGCCTGATCATATTCTACTGAAGTGAGTTTTGCATTAGCCTCCAAGGGTGTGCAAGCAGGCTTAGCCCCACTTAATCCCATCTCTGAGATAAGCTCCAGTACATACTTCCTCTGGTTCAGCAAAATGCCAGCCTTGGATCTTAGCACTTCAATTCCCAGGAAGTACTTGAGCTCTCCTAGGTCCTTAACTTTGAACTTCTGGTGTAGAATATCCTTGGCCTGTTTGATCAAGTTTGCACTGCTTCCTGTGATGAGAAGATCATCCACATAAACTAGGACAATCACTACCTCTTCCTGGCTTCTCATAGTGAATAGAGAGTAGTCATAGTTGCTTTGGATGAAGCCTGCACTTAGAAGTGCTTCTGTTAGCTTGATATTCCACTGTCTTGAAGCTTATTTAAGCCCATATAAGGACTTCATTAACTTGCAAACTATCTTGTCACCTTGTTGTCTGAAACCCTCAGGTAATTCCATATAAACTTCCTCATACAAATCACCTTGCAAGAAGGCATTGTACACATCCATTTGGAACAGATTCCAACCTTTTGAGGCAGCAAGAGCTATGATTGACCTCACAGTGACCATTTTTGCCACGGGTGAAAAGGTGTCATGATAGTCCAATCCTTCCCTTTGACTATACCCCTTTGTCACTAGCCTTGCCTTATATCTCTCAATGTCCCCATTTGCTTTATATTTAATCTTATATACCCATTTTGAGACCACTATGTTCTTTCCCTTTGGAAAATCAACTATGCACCATGTTTTGTTATCTTCTAAAGCCTTTATCTCCTGTTTCATAGCCTCAATCCATCTACTGTCTTTAACAGCTTCTCTGAAGGACCGTGGCTCAATCTGTTGAGAGAACTTGGCCAAATAACATTGATAGTTGGAGGATGTTTTGTCATAAGACAAATAGTTTGAAATTGGATAGTTGCAAGCAGCACCCTTCTTTGTAGTGATATAATCTTTCATCCATAGTGGCTCCTTGGTCTGTCTTGAGGACTTCCTGCCCATGTTTGATGGTACACTTCCATTTTCTTCTTCAAGTGATTGCTGCCTTTCATTGTGTGACTCATTCTGAGCCTCTGCATCATGAATAATAGGACTTTGAACTTATGCATCCTGAAGGATTGCTGCATCAGAACTATCAGAATCTGCCTCCTCAACTGCATGTTGTGTATCATCTTCTGTTTCTGTGTTATCTGCATTTACTGTTGTTTTTGGTAAGTTTGATTCTCCTGGAGTACTGCTGTGATCTGACATTTTTATATGTAGAGGAGAAGACATAGACAGTTCAGATTCCTTGCTCATGTTAGTGCTTCCTTTGGTAAAAGGAAACTCAGATTCCCTGAAAACAACATCCCTGCTAGTGAAGAATTGCCTAGTTGTAGATCCAGAAGTATATATCCCTTCTGTGTCTCAGAGTATCCCATTAAAACTGCTGCTTTGGCTCTTTCAGCAAATTTGTCTCCCTTGGGCAGGCTTGTTGCATAACACAGACAACCTATAACTCTTAGATGAATGAGAGATGTCTTCCTACCATATAGTAGCTCAAAGGGCACCTTGCCCCCTAGAGTTGTTGATGGTAACCTATTAATCAAATATACTGCATCATTCACACACATGCCCCAATACCTTATAGGAATGGACCCCTGAAACTTCAATGCCCTGGCTGTGTCAAGAATGTGCCTATGCTTCCGTTCTACTATGCCATTCTGTTGAGGGGTATAAGGACAACTACTCTGATGAATGATGCCAAGGTTACTCAACAAGGCTGCACATTGTGAGTTAAAGAACTCAGTCCCATTATCTGATCTCAGTATCTTAACCATGACTCCAAACTAATTTTGAATCATGTTAAAAAATTGTTTTATTGCTACTATCACTTCAGACTTTAGTTGCAAGAAATACACCCATGTGTATCTAGAATGATCGTCTACAATAGTAAGGAAGTAATACTTGTTATTGAATGTAGGAACCTTATAAGGACCCCATAGATCCATATGTACAAGATGAAACAATCCATCAGCTCTAGAGTCACTAAGCGGGAATTTCAACCTAGATTGTTTTGCTAAGGGACAAACAAAAACAATTATTCTCTGTTATACTACTAACATAGCTATGTAGGTCCTTTATATTCTTCATAGTTGACAATGAGGGAAGTCCCAGCCTCATGTGCCACAGGCTGCTGGTTCCTCCACACAATCTGCTCATTGCACAAATGGCCTTCAACTTGTTAGTTAATCTTCCATTTCTAAGCAAATACAATCCACCTCTCTCTCTATCAATCCCCTTCACCCTGCCATTGCAAAGGTCATGAAATACACAGAAGTCAGGAAAGAAGTTGACATTGCAAGACAGTGCTCTTGTGAGCTTTGAGACTGACAATAGGTTGAACCTAAAATCAGGTACATAAAGAACATTTTTTACTGTTTCTTTATCCAGCAAACATGTACTACCAGTATGAGTGATATCAGCTTTTCCCCCTGTAGGTAGATGTACCCTGTCATTGTTAGATTTATCTGTAGTTCTAGTATTAGCTAACAGTTCTAATTTTGAGGCAATGTGATGAGTTGCTCCTGAGTCAACAATCCACTCTTCTTCCTTTTGGTTGGAATTAGACATTAAACAAGTGACATTACCTGCCACGTTAGCCTGGTGATCACCACAATCTTTATTTAGCAAATTCAGAATTTGATTATACTGTGCATCAGTGAAGTAATATCCCTTGTTTTCAGCTGTTGTCTGTCCATGGCCATCTCCTTGTGAACATGATCCAATATCTTCCTGATTCACAGCTGCTAGGGGTTCTCTCCTCCAATTGTCTGGCCTTCCTCCACCATTTTGATTCCCATTGTTGATAGTTCTCCAGTTGTCAGGCTGCCCTGTACCATGTTTCTTCTTTGGAACAAAATCTTATGGATAGCCAATAATTTTGTAGCAATTTTCCTTGGTGTGCCCTTTCATCCGGCAGTGTTCACATTGCATAAATTGTTTCTTGCCTCGATATCCTTGTCCTCTTCCAGTTGCTTGCATAGCCAAGGTAGGATCAGCTCTATCAGTCACAACATTGTCACCCACACTCTGCTAACTTTCATCCTGTACAATCATTGCATAGGCCTGATTCAGCGTAGGTGCAGTTGTCTTCATGAGAATTTGCCTTCTAGCCTGATCATAAGACTCATTCAATCCGCTGAGAAATTGCATAACTCGTTGTTGATGTATTTGTTCTAGATTTTCCTTAGACTTAGGGCATCCACAATTAGAAAAAGGGAAAAGCAAATCATACTCATGCTAAAGTTCCTTTAGCTTTGTGAAGTAAACTGAAACTTAGCTAGTTCCTTGTGAGAGAGTTGCAATTTCACGATGTAATTGAAAAACTCTTACTCGATTGACTTTATCGAATCTCTCCCGTAGATCCTCCCAAACGAGATGAGCATCTGATGCATACACGATCCCACCAAGGAGCTCCTCACACACATTATTCATGATCCATGACAAAACTATAGCATTACAGGTCTCCCATTGCTCCAGTAAATCAGCCGTCTTGTAGGTTTCCTTTTTGCATGTACCGGTCACAAACCCTAGCTTCCTCTTCCCCAAAAGTGCAATCCTCATCGACCTACTCCATAGCACATAGTTTTCTGACCCAGTGAGCTTTACCGGAATCGATACTGAGCTCGGAGTGTTTGAAGGACCCAAAAACAGGGGATGTGTGTGGTCAATTGTGTTTTCTGCCATTGTTGCGTCAATAGCAGCAATTGATCAACGAAAGATGGAAGAATTTAGACCAGTAATCAGCTTAGGTGCGTCACAGCATGAGATTCCAGTATCTCCTGCTCTGATACCATGACAAATTGCAAGGATTTGAAGGTATAACAATGGTGGGAACTCTGAGAAGAGAGACGGTTAAGAGAGGAAATGAATTACTGTTTTTATTGAAGAAGAAGAAGAACAGTACTTTTATACATCTAACTACCATTAACTTAAGCTAACCCACTAACTAATTGACAGCTCATTAACTGCTGTCATTAACAAGAAAAAACATGTGACTAACTAACTATTACATGTGCGGTATCTATATTACAATAATATCATGCATGCATTAGACTGAGAAAAGTTTAAATGAAGCGATATAAACACTGAGAGTTCATAAGTTTGAACTTAATTTGCTTGAGATTTAGACGTACTTAGTATACATTATCAACTGAAAATTGCTCGGGAATATCATATTGAAATAAATAATTCCATTTGTTCACTTTATGTGACACTAAGTTTTTCTTTGATCGTGATTTTCTCAAATATTATAAAAATATTTTGAATAGCAACTATCATGACTTATAATACCTTTTATATAATTTGTAAATATATAATTTTTTAAACAAATTTAAAGATTATATATCCAAATCCATACCGGAAATCAAGTAAATTTGATTCTGCACTCCGTATCATGATATATAACATGAAATGATGTATATAAGACGAAAAGATTGTTCCTCTTGAATAGTGTACATCACAAAAATACATTTGAGTAAAATATTTATTTATTTTTTTGGAAGACTTTCCTAAATCATTGTACATAGACGACAAAAATGCAAATTAAACTGCCCAGAATTCTTCATTTTTTTTGAACTTTTTAAGCTCGAGGAGAGGTTTCCATATGCTATTGCCCAGAGATAAGTAGGAGTTAAATAATTGAAAATTCGTACTTATCCAATTCTAAAGAGTTAAAAGAAGCACAAGTTATTAATTTGGTAAACACCTTGAGAAACTTATTGGCATTTTCTAATTTTATAGGATTGACTGGCTATCTCTTACTCTGTTAGTTTAGCGCTTGTTGTCATGAAAAAAGTTTATATCAGTCAATATGATTACTCTTTTCTTTTCAATTTAAATGGTAGTGTATTATGCACAAAATTTAAAAGAAAAAAAAAATTCTTATGATTTTAAATATATCATGATATTTACATACGTATAAAAATATAAAAGTAAGGGAGATTTAAATGAAAATTATTTTCAAAATAGATATCATTCTTTTCTAAAGTAAAATAATAATAATAATAAAAGTAAATAGGTTATATGTGTATCCCTGTTATGTTTTGATGATCTAACAAACTTATTGTTACGAACCAGATAAGGAACATGATACACACCCTCAAGAACGTAAAGATCAACAAGTCTCCAGTTGGAGACACAGTTCAACTCTTCAGAGTCAAAGGAACAGCAGAGGGAACAAATAGCAACCAGTTCCCGAGGTGACTGTACAAGTCAACTCCCCCAGCTCTAAAGTTGCTGCCTGCACACACAATAGTGCGAAAACAGTGCAGCAGTCAACTTTATGGGGAATGCCCTTTACCTAACTTGCTTGCATCATTCAAGTGATGTACAAATGACTTATTAATATCAAGCAAAGGTAAAACAAAACACTTGCACATTCAAGAATTAATCAAGCATTCTCGCACGTCATCTATCAATCTTGCAAGTGACTCTCAAGGGCATCAAGAAGAAAGAACAACATAACAACGGACTAGTTTCATGTATCGAGTTATTATATGTCCTTAGTTATGTTGTACCTTTGTTAAGGCACTCTACTTGTAATTCCTACTTAACTTAGTTAGAAGCATTGCGTAGGAAATTTTTGTAAATCACAAACCCTTGTGTTTGTGTGTTGGCTAGAGTTGGTCGAGTTGTAAAGTCTTTGTAATAAAGTTATTACAAAGTGGCTTGTAAAAGTGTTGTTACAAGTTAGTGAGGGACTAAGAGGTTAATTCCTAGGTTACAATAGTTTGTAATCTAAAGTTTGCTCAGCAGTGAAGTTGAAATCCTACAAGGGTAGGTCGTGATTTTTGATCCCGTGAGCTGGGAGTTTTCCACGTAAAACTCCATTGTGTCATTTACTAACGGCAGTGTACGTGTGTTCTGTGAGAACTAATAGAGAACCTGGTTCTCTATATAGTTTGGTGGACCCCTAATTTCTATTAAAAAAGAAAAGACACATAAAATAGAACACCAAGAGTAACAAAAGATCCTTTTAGGTACGATGTAAAAAATATGGATAAAAGTAAAAAAGCAAATATATGTATTACTAAGAACTAAAGTACAAATATATAAAAATCAACAGTAACAAGAAAGTAAGAGTTAACAAAGTATACAAGTAATCATTCAGAAAATTAGTAACTACTCCCTCACACAAAGTTCTAGAAAATACTGCAAATTATGATAACCAAGAATTTGCCCAGATAATAATCTGTCCCCACCTAAATACTCATGAACTATTACAGCTAGTGTGACTAAAAAAATCAAGAACCACATAGACAAAATCATACCTTATCCAAATATAGAGAATGAAAGTAAGAGAGGTTCCATCTCATCCCCCATGGGCTAGCTAGTAATCATGGGGATACAAACGAGATGAGCTTTTCTGCTGTTCTTCTTCCTTCTTCTTCTTCTTCTTCTACTACTACCATTTCTCTTCCCACCAATCACAATAAGCTTTTCTCCTTCCACAACATCAATGGCATCTCCACAAAGTTTAATTCCATTCATAGATTCTCCTTGCGAGGTGCATGTCCCTCTTTTTTTCATATTATATATATTAATAATATGCTTTCTTTGAGCCGAAGAGTCTATTTGAAATAGCCTCTGTACCTTCACAAGGTAGCGATTAGGTCTGGGTACCCACCATCCTCTGTGGACCAATTTCATTGGGTCTATTGTTATTGTTGTATTAATAAGAACTGAATATGTAACCATCAAAAGGTATAAAGGGATGAATGAATCCCTCCATCCTTAGCATCCTTAATAAGGGGTCTCGAATTCGAGCCTTAGCGATAAAGAAATCCCTCGTAGAGAGTGCTTGTCTCTAAAATGGGGTTATGCGGCATGAGTCTGAATTAGTCGGACCAGTGGGACCAGATAGATAGCTGATTGTCATACGAAAAAAGAACTGAATGTATAGTAATATCTAATGCTTAATTCCTTGAATGTATGGCAGTTGTTAATGACTCCAATAGGACAGAGTTATCGACTTCGGATGGTGATAAGCTTGTAGATGGAATGGATTTTGGGGAACTTTGCGATGAATTTGAATGTATTAGCAGCCCTTCTGTTGAAGCTACAGCTAGGCAACTTGTTCGAGATATTCTTGAGCTTCGCCAAGGCAATCGTGCCCTTGGTACCTTTGCTCTTTCTGTCAAATACAAGGTTCTCCATCGCTTGTTCATCTACTATATTCACTTGCTCTATTACTACATTTTCTAATATCTTGTATTCTAATGTTGAATTTGGTTTTGGCTACTTCTTTGGATAATTGGATGGTTTTAGCTTATTAGCCTTAAAAGATTCAGGGGCGTAGCTAAATGGTCCGACAAGGATTCAATTGAATTTTCTTTCGTCCAAAAATTATACTATATATATATATATATATATACAATGTTGAATCACAAGGAAAGTTTCTAGTGTAACAACAAAGGTAGCTCAAATATTGCTTTAAGTTGCGGGTCTGAATTCTAGGTGTAGCATTTTTTGTATTTCTTCAATTCCCTTATTAGAATTCCTGGCTCCCCCTTTTTTAGTTGTTCTCAAACTAATTTGATGAGACATTACCAAATCAATCAAACAACTTCTGCAAATAATCACTTGTCCCCAATTTCACTTATTATAGAATTATGATGCATGTCTGCAACTTAAGTTGCTTAAACTATGCACGCATGCTTTAACTTCACCAGTATTTGGAAGTATTTAGATTTATATGGACTAATATACTGGATTATATTCATTGTTCAGTATCTCAATCTATTGCCAAACAATCAAATGCAGGATCCAGTCAGAAGTTTCACGGGGCGAGAGAAGTACAAGAGACCGCTATGGATAACTGACGCACTGCAGAACGCTAGAACGGTAACATATTAAGGAGCTTTTAGATGTTTGTTTGACTGACTGCTATTATAAGGCTATAGCTTTCAAATACTTAACAACTTTTAGACTTGCAAGCTTTTAATGTAAAAGATGACAGGCAAAATACTTGGGCTAATAGATGAACCTATGTCGTGCACAGGATAGTCTAGTTGTATCCAGTGGTTGCATCAGACGACTGAATGAATGAATGAATGACATATTTTCCATATACTTTTATCACTGAAGTGTACTCTCACTTTAATTTGTGACTCTTAAGATTAAATTATTTGATTTGGTGTAGTGTAAACACCGAGTGCAGAAGTGTCTTCCGTTGCACCTCCTCCCAGTATCATGATATTAACTATTCTATAGCCTTCAACGACGTAGAGATATATTTTCCGTCATTTTGCTATGCAGAGTGTGCAAGAAATGGTGATGTTATCAACGAGTGTGTTGAATATTAAGTGGACAATTAAAGGAAAGCCAAAGTCTATACTTGCTGCCATAGGAGGGGATCTGATCATCAAAGTGAACTCAAAATTCACTTTGAACCAAATCAGTGGGCAAGTAGTTGAACATGAAGAGCTCTGGGATTTATCAGGATCATCCGTCATCGCTCAAGCTTATTTCTGGGCATCGCGACGTCTCTTTGCCACAGTTGAAGCTGGGAAAGATGTTGCTGATTTTGTGAAAGACTTGAATTCTAAGTCTACTTCAGAGAATAAAAACATGGATGTTTATCCTGACCCTTATGGTGATCCAAAAAAGGTATTTCTTGTTCAAAATTTAAGTCTCAAATCTTGAATTCTATTGAGAAAAATTTTTTAGTGTAATCTGATGAAAATTGTCTACTTTTATGATGCAGTTCTTTCAAAGGGATGACAGCTTCCAAAGGGATTTCTACCAAATTGCATTGCTCCTAGCAGTTATATATTTTGTCGTACAGTTCTTGAAAACAACTTTATGAGACTTTTTCCCAAATTGCTATAAGTAAGATTGTATAATTGTAATTATTAATTGATGTTTGTATCTAAATACATACTTAAGGAAGATTTCATATCAAAATATATTTTGTTCCTTTAGTTAATGCAGCTGAATCAAAAGAATCATATATATTTCATTCTATATTTGTCCGCTTGTGGTGCTTATGGCTCTATTGGAAACAGCATCTCTATCCTCACAAAGTAGGGGTAAGGCATGCGTACATACTACCCTCTTGATACCTCACTGGTGTGGGATAATCTGGGTATGTTGTTATTTATCCTCTGATTAATTTCAAGGAAAAGAAATGCACGCTAAACTTTTATACCACCCTTATACCTTCTTATACCTCATACCAAACGACCCCTAAGTTTAAGAAAGAAATGAAAACATTTGAAAACAATAGTCTTACACATGTCTAAACTTTTTAAAACTTATGATCTAAACATGACCATAACATTTGTATGACTATAAAAGCTTTTCATTAACGATACGAAAAGTTGTTCAAATCACTGTAAAGCAAAAGAAGTAACTGCCAATAGGTGGTAACTGATCATTATATAAATATCATTAACATGCACATCGTCAGAAAAGCTACAATTACAACAATTCTTATCAGACACTCATAAATTAGGAAATACACCAAAAACTCAAAAGGAAGCAAACACTAACATGACATTCTCACAAAAGCTGGAATTACCTCACCATAACATTGAAACAAACTAATGAATAACTTCAAAAGAAAGAAAAAAGGGACTATCCTATCCAAGCATTTGCTTGCATCTATTCATCACTGTTTGTATTTTCCATCACATGTCCCAAGAGAAAAGGCAGTGAAATAAAATAAAATGAAACAGAATGAGAAAAAAAAAAAACTATTTAGACCATCATCTATGAGGTGATCTCTATGTGTTAGAACAGAAGTGGAACTGCAGAATGTAAGTTTCATCAAACAAGTTTTGTCCGTATTTGTGTAATGTCAAAGAATCATGTTGAAGGTATAAGAAGAGGACTTGTAATTCCAATGAATCATCAAATCGCTGAATGTTATGGCACAACAATGACTCCCTGTACAGTTGTTTCTGGTATATCTCAAAGATTGCATAGGATGGAGATGATTAATACGAAGAACGCAAAAACCATTCTTGAATTGCAAGTCGAAGCTGATGAGATATTGTGAGCACCTATGGTATAATCTTTTCCAGAAGTTTCATCTCTGACTTTGATGCTCGAAGAGCCTGAAATAAACCAACAAATACTTTTAAGAAAAAGTCCTCAAAGGGAACTCTTCAAATAAAACTAACATTGTGCTGAAAACAGATCTGAATAATCCAAGCCTGAAGAAGGAAACAATTGGTACTATTTCAATATGGAAAATAGATTCTACACAATGACGCAGAAATAAGTTAATAAAGTATTAAGTCCTTGAATTAAATGGTAAAGCTATACTCACAGTTATATTCAGTCCAGCCAATACTCTGATTTTCAAGATCATACAGAACAAGCTTGTTGGATAGCACAAGATCTGCATCAAAATATCGATAAAACAATCGATCAACTTTATCTCAATCATGAACTAGTGAGTCAATTATATGAACCCTTTGCATCCATTTTGCTCTATACAAGTCATTTCATTCCAACACTAAATAATTTGTCTTTTAAGACATATTAGAAACTAGATTCTCCAAATCTATCATGATTGTATCAGCTTAAACTCAATTCTGGGAAGGTGCACGTACATCATGTAATTTTTTCTGTGAGCTGTTATTATATCAAGCATTTGAAAAGACTGAAGAAATGGAAATGAGATGTAAGTGATGATGCAGAATGACCAGTCGACTCTCCAGTGACTAGTATTTTATTAATACATAATAAATACTAGGGAAACAGCTCCATTTCAACTATAAAATTAGTAGTATTTACAATAACTAAGAAAAAGTAAGCTTTGAAGAATATCGCTTTGGAGTATTAATTATTATAGAGAAATAAAAGTGATCTGCATATTATAACATAATCAAATGTTGAAGTGCTCAAGGTGTAGTTTAAGATGTAAGCTTCTGACCAGCTAAACAGATAAAGCAGATATTAAACTTGATTTAAGCGAAAACGCCAAGAAATTTATTGTGGCCAACTAAATTATTCAAAATCTTACTATCCCTCCCTTTTGAACTAATATCATCTTTGCTTAGACGAAATTAACATAGAAATATGACCTTCAGTAAAAACCATAATTATGAAAGCCTATAAATGGTTAGATCTTTTTGTTGATGCCAATAGGCTGGTTAACTTTTATTATTGATATTACAAATAAATAACACCCCCTGGACGAAATTAACATAGAAATATGACCTTCAGTAAAAACCATAATTAAGTAGCATAAATGGACGAGTTTCATAATACAAATATAACATGTACATATTACTGGTAAAAGATGAAACAAAAACTTAAGTAATGGTTGGAAAGTCTTGAATTGTAAAGATTAATTTTGAGTTTTTTACATACATTTAGTAAAAAATGGTTCAAGTTCGGATAAAGGAGGGTGATTGCGATAAGTTGATGGCAATTGCAAAAGGTCAAATTAAGTCCTCTTAGCAATGCATAAGTTGTGTCATGCTCGTAATGAAATTGGTCCCAACTTTTCATTACAGACATATCTTCATCCCCGAGCATCTTCCTCCGGCAAACTCAACGAATGGAGCTGAGTACATAGAGGATTTCTGTCACCATCCGAACTTTTTCGGTATTGAGATATAGTTCATTCATTGATTGAAATTGTTATGAAGTTATGACAAATATCTTAAGATGACATAAATTGGAAAGTGTATTTAAAAAGCTGGACGTAGGGAGTAATTTTGCTCGCAAGAATATTAACTAATTGAGCCATAAGCATGTCAACTTATTGTTTGATTCCAGTTCCAGGTCTACAACGATTATCTAATATTACCCTTAAAGGGTTTCGTCAATGAAAGAAAATTTCCCTAGCTTAAGAATGGATTGACAAAGAATCTGCAAAACTCTTCTATGTCAGTCTTTACATCTCAAACACTTCTTTGTTTTTTGTTTTTTGTTTTTTATCTTTTCCCTTCATGTGGGTATGTGGAGGACAATACAGGTTTAGATAGAACCTTCAGAAACACAGAAAAGAAGTTGTCTATCCTTGGAAAGACATTGGACACCATCAACAGAGAATTGGAATCAACAACTAATGACACAGTAAATATTCTTGATTTTTATGCCGGCTTCTTTACATGCATTCTCCCTGACATCTGTATATGATCTATGACTACTTGCATGAGGACCAGATCATGCTCTTCTACCAACTTCTCTAAGACTTATTTTTTCAAACTCTACCATAACAGGTTGACCACAATTTTAAATATTCTTTAGTATTCGTCAGTTATGACGTGAAGTTAAACGTGTTTGGGACACAACTTATTTACGTAATCTCTAGTATCTCCGGGTGGCAGCTAGCTTGACCAACAATAATTATTTATCCCATGTTGTTCAACTGTCTTATAATCACACTTGAAAAAATATCATTGAACAAACTATTGACTCTATTTGGCCAAGATTAGTTTCGTGACATTAGTTAAAATTCTAAATGCAGTTCACCATCAAACTGATTTACTTTTAAGCGCTATAAGTGGTTAAATGATACCTCCTAACAGAGTTATTTCCTTTCCATCCTTTGTCTGCATTCCACTGTCCTGCCAACCAATACACCATTCGTTGTCCTGCAAAATTAAACATTGTGAAGATATTCAAAACGAAAGGTGTTTGTAAGTCATGTTATCCAAACTACAAAGTGTATCCAGTTGCTTTCCCTTCCATGCGTATAAAATGTGAATTGTATCTCTAGGACCCTTATTTTAGTACCCTATTGTTTGCATTGGACTACACATAAATAACAAATGAATGTATCTATTGGTAAGAGTTTACAGAAGTTGGACAAACTCATACCGACATTTACAACACCGAAAAAATTGTAAAAATAATCACCTAAGCAAGTGAGACCAAATAGAAAAGACAGCGAAACAACTTCCCATGAATGCTAGGCTCTAAGATATGAAAACATATAAGACCAGTCGCTTATCACTGTGCTGACTGGAAATTCGTGATGACAAATCAACAGGCCTAGGCCTATACTGATTAGTGAATTCCATCCAGATAATGGCTGGAGCAGTGGTTTAAAAAGGGAAAAGCGCAAAGAAGTTACATGGTGTTCTCATTTGGATCACTTTGCGCGTCATTGTTTGAAGCGCATGACTTCATCCATGAAGCGATAACCACTCGCTTCACTTTGCATCATCGTTTTAAGCGACAAAGGGATGCCTTTTAATAACACTGGGCTTGAGAAACTAAGTAACTGGCATAAACGATCAAAGGATCCAATATTCAAATACTAACAGGGCAAACTATTTTTGGCCAGCTAGCAAATTTAGAGGGTGTTTGGATTGGCTTATAAAAAGTAGCTTTAAGCTAAAAGCCAAAAGCCATAAGTTGGTAATACCCAACTTTTGGCTTTTGGCTTATTTTTGTACTTTTTATGCCTAAAAGTAAGTGCTTTTAAGCACTTTTTATCATTGTCAAACACCACACAAACTAAAAAAGTGCTTAAAAGCCAATAAGCACTTAAAATAAGTCAATCCAAACACCCTCTTAATCTGATTAAGTAAAGAAAGAGTTGGAGAAATTCAGCAAAGCTAGATACTTACACTAACTTGGAAAAGATAATCGTGCGGATAAACTGTCAAAGACAGAGAATTAGCAAACTGAAAGGTTACAACGGGGAAACCATCATCAACCCTGCACCACCAGAGGAAAAGAGAAGTTAAAAGAGCAAGTTATTAACAGCAATTATCTGCATTGCACCAATTAATCTCTGGAAATCCAGATTATGTCATTCTGAAATGAAGACCGGGTTATGGAGCATTATTACTATTAATGATCTAACCACCACTGAATTACATATACTAGTACATCCATGCATCCATCATAAATGGAGCTTGGAATATGAGAAAGCTAATAGAGAAGTGGCTAATCACAAGAAGTCAGAATTAAAAATAAGGTCAAATGAGATGCACGAGATCTATTCGGATAACCTGC